TTCCATGCCTGAAGAAAACTGAGTGTAGAGTCAAAAGTACTTGCATATTATAATTTTAAAAAACAAGGCTTATAACATTCATGAAGTGATTGGTAAGTTAATGCACAGGGATTTCACCATTTTATATCATTAATTTTACTAATCTATTTTTTGTATGATTCATTATAATATAAATTGAACTGCACTACATATTTGATATATAATATATATATATATATAAAATATATATAATATATATATAATATATATATATATATATATATAAAAATATATATAATATATATATAAATAAAATATATATATATATATATATATAAAAAATATATAAAATATATATATATATAAAATATATATATAATATATATATATAATATATATAAATTATTTATTTAAAATATGATTCCAAATCGCTACATAAGAGGTCTCATGTTTCAAAAACAAGAGCCAAAAACTTCAATATAATCCTTTTAAATTAAATTGAGTTTAAATTAAAATGGGCTCCGTTCCATCTTCAAGCGAAATTTTGTTGGAATAACGTATATATGAAATTTACTTGTTTTAAAAAATTGAAATCAAAATCTCCATGGTAACAGCAAGGGCGAATTGTTTAAATTGGGTAGGCGAGTGTAGGGTGTTAATAATAAGTAGCGGTATAGAGATACTTTCAAGATGTCAAGTCAGGGAAAGGTGGGGGTGTCTAAAATGAAACGGAAGATGTATTAACCTTCGTCTAGTTTGCTTGTCTATGGAGATTTATTTATTTATTTTATTTTATTATAAAAGGGAATTGTGCATATTAAAAAAAAAAAAAAAAAAACTTTCGTAACGTTTGTTTTTTGACGACTTCATAAAGGGTTATCTATTATGTAAGGTATTTAAACTACTTATTTGGGCTATGGATTATGAAGGGTGTTATGTTGTATGCATGTTTGTAGTTAATTATTCCTACTATGAATCTGATGATCGGGCTATTTGTTAAACAAGTTATTATAATTTTTTTTTTTTTTTTTTTTTATCTAATAATTCAAACCAAAAATCTGATGATGCCTACAGAAAATCGTTAACTCGTGTCTATTATTTAATAGATTATTATTATTTAGAAGTTTAATAATGTGTAATTTTTCATGGAGGCACAAAGGGCATGGGTCATCCCAAGCTTTACATGTTCTAGCCTTATCAATGATTTTCCATTTAACTTTTGGTGTCCTATTTGTTTCCTTCAGGTGCCAAAAATATTTTGATAGTGAAGTCTGGTTTTTTTGTTTTATATTATTAAAGGAGCACTTATGCTGCTCCATCTATCTTTAAAATTATTCTTCGTGGACCCAAAGTATATCATATTAGTGCTAGGGCTCTCTGTGGATGAAATAGTACATTGGTATACCACAGAATTAATACAACATTTATTTTCTAATGGGCAGTCTTCTAGGTTTTCTACAGTTACATAATTTTTCCCTTCTATCGTCTGGTTTAAGTGCAGAGTTTTTATTAATACTGTTTTGGCATGGGGGTTTGTTCAAGATCTTATTATTGTGTTTTTTTATTATACGTTCAAGATTATCAGAGCAGCTGTAACTCAATTTTAGGGTGTTCTTATTGAATATATTACTAAGCTTACTATTGGTGGGGAAGTGTTTATCAATTAGAGCTAAGAATTTCTGTCCTAGTTTAATACTAACCCTTTGGTTGAACGGAGGGGTGTACCAAATGATATTTCTTTTCCTGTTTTTTGTTTCTATGGCCAGTGTAATTTTCTATAGTTAATGTTAGCATTTTTATAACCACTATTTTTTAGGGCAGTGTTATAGAAGTCATTGTGTTGTTGGAATATTTCCTTGTTTGCTGAGTTAATGCTAATTCTATTTTCTATTGATGAGGGTATATGTTTAATTATTGATGGAGGATGGTTTGACTTGGGTGTATGTATAAAGGGTTAGCATTTGGTTTTCTATAAGGTTGGTATGTGTTGCCTGGTAAGTCTAGAGTTACGTCGAGGAAGTTAACCCTTTTCAAATTAGAAGAGACAGTAATCTTTAAGTTTAGTTTCTTAAATTCACTAAATATAATTTTTCTGATTTTTTTCAATCTTAAAACTAGTAGAACTCCTCACCACCATGAGCCCGTCATCTCTATACAGCCCGATGTCCTTAATATCAATTTCATGTGTGCCGTTAAGTTGTACAGTATAAGGAGACCAACAAGGTCAGAAGACTCTGCAGAGTCTAACGATCCCATAGTGATGTCAAACAGGTCGTTATTGTTTTTTATCCATTGGTCCCCATTGTGAACGAGGACCGATTTCTTTGCGCTGAGGATTATATCCATTTCTTCCTTTGTTAGGTTAGAATACACAGCAGCGAAGTCCAGGGCAGTCTTCAATAGCAAAGATTGCTTCAGGGGCAACAAATGAATGAAATCCAAATCAACAAATAAAGTCAAAAACCATTTAATACGAAATAGTATACATGGTATGAAAAAATATATATTCTGTAATGTACATAAATTTTTTTCATCTTTTCTTCTCGGACAGATGACCCTGAATAAAACAAGAATGTATTTTAAGAAAATACGAGTCTTCATTTCTTGTTAGTATTAAGTGAAATGACTCAAATCAGCCAAGGGAAACAACATCATTACTTCTAATTTGGGTTCTTGAAATTTGCAGGTATAATGCAGAAAATGATGCCAAAATTGTGCCAATTTTATATCATTTATTTAAAAATAAATCAAATGAAATATTGTTAAACACTGAGAAAGTAAATATTGATATCTAGAATCTTTAACTTGAATCATTTTAAAATAAAAAAATAAAAAAAATCTTAAAAAGTGTCTTTTGATCATTCAAATTTGTCCTAAGAGAAGACATTGTTTAGAAAACTGAATTAATTGCTTATTTTGAAACCAAGAACAGAAAAAGCCGAATTGATTCATTTTTTAGTTCATTTTTAGTGGCCTTAATTTTAATTGTCCTTGAGTTACATGCAGATAAATAAAAAAAAATACTGAATTATTGTAAAATAAACCGACTTAAATTTATAAGTTGGCAAAAAAAAAAATTATCTTTGATGAAGTGGAAGATTCATTCTGAAAATGATTGAGAAACGAGTCAAAAAGAAAAATGTCCAATAATAGTTTCTGTTATCAGTTATAGATTAAAACCTTATTTCTACCCACAGAAGATGGTTGATAATTGTCAAATGAGTTTATACTCACAAATTTCATCTTAAAATTAATTTTTAAAATGAATAATCCACTTTTTAAAAATGGATAACACTTCTTGATCTCTCAAGAATTTTTACTTTTCAATTTCATTTGGTCATAAAATAATTTTCTTTCCGTTTTTTTTTTTTAAATTTTGAACTCCATTTAACTTTCCAAAGGAAACTTATTCTTAAAGTAATTAACACAATTTATGAGAAACATTATTAGACAGCGATTTATTTGGACTAATATCTTCATCTTTGTTGTAAAAAAATTCCAACAACTTTATCAGACAATGGCCTACTGAATAAAAACATTGGGCAAGTTTATCTAGTTATCAGGGGATTGCAAGTTCAATACCCGTGTGAGGCAGTGAAAATCCATATAATCTAGTTCAGTGGAAAAAGTTAAAGTGTCATCGCAAGAACAATTTGAAATTTCAAAGAGAATGGAATAAGAAGAATCTGTACCATAAATCAAATAAATAATGACAGATATCAGATGAAAACTAAAAGATACAATAGTCAAATTAGTGTAATCAGCTACTGAGATGAGGATAGAGGTTTCAACAATAGTAATTTATTGTAGAATAGAAAAGAGCTAAGAAAAAAAAAACCCTCAACTAGGATATATCTGGTGTAGGTAAGAGCTGCGTTCTCCTGAATAATTTACTGGAAAAGGTTGCCTCTCAACATACGACAGTATCACTGATAAATTTGCATGGCAGCCAGTGAGCTAATTTACATAAAAATGATTATGTTTATTCATCAAAACATCATAACTGATCTATGTTTGTAACAACAGATATCACACATTATGAAATGGACAAAGTCCGACAATTATTTTAAGACATTTTATGTTTATACATTCTTTTTATAGATACAAATATTTAAGTAAATGCTCTCTTTATAATAAACAGTGTTAAACAACATTTACTGGCCTGAATGTCCGGGAAATTTTCATAGAATATATTCGTCCCCCGACAGGATTCGAACCGGTATCCTATACAGAACTGTCATATAGCCTGACGTGCCTTTTAACCGATTCAGCCACAGAGGAGCATTCGGTTAGCAAGGTCTAATTTACTGCTTTTAAACTTCAATCATCCATGAATCTCTCATGTACATTCATATCTGCCCATGGCGTATCAAATGTAAACAAATGATGTCACACATTATGACAAAGTCGGACAATTATTTTAAGACATTTTTTATGTTTATACAGATTCTTTTTATAGATACAAATATTTAAGTAAATGCTCTGTTTATAATAAACCTGGATTAAATTTCCTCTTTAAAAACTTTTCCTGTTCTTTTTGTATTTTCAATTTAGTTTATAATCAGAAAACATAAGAATTGTAAGTGGAATGACAGAAAAGACATATCAGAGATGCTACTTGGTTTCAATGAAAGAGAGAAGGAAGTGTTTAACGTCTGCTGCCAATACATCATAAATAATGGGTTATTCAATTTTGATCACATATCAAAGACGCTACTTGGTTTTAGTGCAAACTTAGACCTGGGTCTATATGTACACATATGGGCATCCCAAATTAAAACTGGTCTTATGCCACACACCACTATCGTGGGAAGGCAAGTAAATACTAGCTCTGTATTTGCTGCCAGCCCAGATAAAACTGCTTGTAATTTACAACTGTTGGTTTTTGTCTACATTTTATACAATGTAAAAAGTGTGTGTGTGTTTTCAGATTTCTTTTTTCTATTTTAAAATGACTTGTGAAGACTGATCTGAGTCACCCACTTGGCAGAAGCAGAGAAATGATATTCAGAAATCAAATTTTAAAGAGCATCCAGACTTTCTTGCTTGTCCCAGTCTTTCATCTTTCCTGTGCCAATTACAAAATCGTCCTGAAGAACACTCCAGATTTTTCTTTCTGGTTCTTTAGCCTGGAAAAACAAAAAAAAAATACTATTTTAAACCAACAACCAAATATCTCCATTAGAAAATTAATTTTAAAAAATTGTGAATTTTTCTTTTTTTGCTTTGTTTTACGAAAAACTCAAACACTTCCTTCAGAAAAACTAATTATCAAGGGGAGTAACTCTAGATACAACCAAGGGAATTAACTCTTATTTATTTTACACATCCATGATCCATGAAAGCACAAATTAACGAACCGAATTTGTTTTACTCAATTTTACTTTCATAGCCAGACAGAGAAAAATAAGTTGTTATAAAAATTATCTAACCTCTATAAAATTTCTGTATAGACATTTTCAGAAAGTTTTAAAGTTCTTTGTACCATTTTGCTAAATTCACTTGAATTTCATATTCAAGACATAACAACAGACAAACCTCTCATCAATCTAATAGGGAGGAGGAGTTGTCTGTTAAAGCCAATTGTCCATAGATGGGAAGGAATTATTTTGAGCCATAAAACCACTACAGTAACTACCAGTAGTTATGATCATAATGTAAATACTATAAACATGTAGCAACAAGCCAACAGCCAGATTTAGTGCTATGGAATAAAAATGACAAAAAAAAAAAAAAAAAAAAAAAAAAGCACTGTTGCTGGAGCTGACAGTCCCCTGAGAAGACAATTTGGAACAAGCAGAGCAAAGAAAAGTTGATCCCTGATAGACAAATGTAAAGAATGTGGATGGAAGATTGAATTCTAGCATCTACTTGTGGGATGCTGTAGTTTTGTCAGAAAAGATGTTGCCAATATGCTCTGAAGACAATTTGGAAACAACAACAAGGAGATAAAAATCATAGTAGCAGATCTTCAGGAGACGGCGAAAAAAGCATCACTCTTCATCTAGTTAAAGCGTGATGATGACGGTTGGAGAACAAATGATGGCGGGAAAGACCAGTTGGCACTGATCTAAAAAGAAGCCTCCACAATGAAGGGGCCTCCCCATAGCAGGATGCAGTAGAGGAAAAGTGGCCAAAAATGGCTGTTATGGTTCCTCCTGATGACTGATTTTAAATTAGATCCAGAAATGGAGGTGCTAACTGGAAAGCAAGACCTTGTTTATTTTTCCCTTATATCCACATTAGTGACCTCCTGATGTGAACACACACTCCACAAGATAATTCCATTAATTTTTTTCAGCTTTGTTTGGCTAATTTGTCATCATGTGAAATGTCTGATGTCAACTATGAACACTGTAACACCATTATGTTACAGGTTGTAAAATTATAGAAACCAATAAAAATTTTAATATTTAAAAAAAAAAAAATAAAAAAAAAAAAAAAAAATGCATTTATTTTTCTAAGCCAAGATTACATTTATTTTGCATTTTCTTTAAATGTAAACATGGATATTTTTTCTACCAACCTAAAACTAAATTTAAAAATTTGCTATATTTAGATGCTAAGATTACATTTACATCACGTTTCCTTTAAATGTAAACACTGATATTTTTTTCTGGTAAATTACAGATGAATTTTGATGAGGCAGATATAAATTCTTTTTATACAAACACAAGGAATTAAAAAATAATATATTGACAGAAACATTACTTACATCTGTCAATTTTAAAAATTTGAGCAAAAATACCCCTGGGAGAGCTATGAATCGACTTCCTCTCCTCATTATAGGTTAAACCAGTGGTTCCCAAGCTTTTCAGGGTTGCATACCAAAACACCACCCTAACGCCCCACCACACCATAATCAACCTTTCACTGGATTTTCTGAGTGGTTGTATGTCAAATAAGTATCTTAGTATTTCCCATAATAATTGTTATATAAATGGGATACACTTCAGGTACAGTGTGTGTGTGGAGTATGTTTATGATGCCACCCTCTGGCTGCCCACTTTTTTTCTCACTGCTCCCTCCCCCTGGATCTTGATGCCACCCTCTTACGAGTCAAATAGTAGTACTTGTATCTGGAAAAATCATCCTTAAATCATTCATTAAAAAAAAAAAAAAAAAAAAAAAAAAAAATCTTACAATTTCCAAAATATGTTTTTTGGCTTTAAATAACCCACAAAGTGTTGATAAGCCATAAAAAAACAAATTGATCAATCTTTAGTGATGGATTGTATCTATGAGATCTATCAAAAAGTATCAGGACCTGTTGCTATGGTAAAGGAGCTAAAGTATGCAGGGTGAAGCCACTTGCCGCAGATTGACCTTGAACTCTTGAGCACGGACACTAAGATATAACTTGCTCGATCACTTCCATTATTTATAGCAGTGGTTAGAAGTGCATAGAGTGTAGTCATCTCACCACTCCAGAGGTTCCGTCAGTGATCATGACTTGTACAGCAGTTTTTGGTGAACCACTACATTCCCAAGGTTCAACAAGCACCATATTCTGCAAATCTCAGCCATGCAACTATTTTTTCTCTTCAAAACCCAAAACCCACTTGAAAAATTTTTTCAAGGTGTCAAGGCAATCCAAAAGAACGTGATGAGGCAGCTGCTCACTATCCGAAAAAAGGAGTTTCAGGAATGCTTCCAGCATTGGAAACAATGCTGGATAATGTTTGTCACTTTAGAAGGTGACTACATCAAAGGAAATTAAATACCAAACTAATATGTTGTAGTTTACTTTTTATAGCACCAGTACCAATACTTTTGGATCAGACATTGTCTCTGTAGAGGCCTATATTATTATTTTACTTAGTGCGTATAGCAAATGTATACGCGTTTGGTTTGGTTCGTTTTACAGGATATCAACCACAATGGGTTATTTAATGGCAACAAAATTTCCTTTTTTTCCTCAAAAATGTATAGCTGGTAATATTTTTTTTCAAAAATGTATAGTTTGGTTTGTTTTGTTTTGTGGTATATTAACCTCAATGGGTTATTTAATGCTGACAAGATTTTTATTTCTGGTAATACTTTCTTTTTTCAAATAATTATTGCTGATACTAATTTTTTTAAAAGTATTTCTGGTATTAAAATCTATATTTACACTTAAAATAGTGTTTTGAGTCAGGTTGTGGGGTCAACTATTTGCCCATAGCTGGGACCCTAACAGGTGCTACCACCCTGGGTAAGGTGGACCTGGGAACACCAGCAATTAAGAGGTGGTTCCACGCTCCTCAAAAACTCCTAATCAGAGGCCTTGCTGCTGGATGTAGTTTATCGTCTTACCCAGGATGCGGATGCAGTTTATCATCATACCCAGGACGGCAAATGTATACAGGTGTCAGCACCATGAAAGCTTCCCATTGTAATGCCAAAGATCTCTTCTTTCTTTATACACATTTTTGGGAGTGTTTAATGATCTTTTTGTTTTTATTTCATTTGTGTTTATTTTTATTTGTTCTTGAGCTAAGAAGATGTTATAGAAACGTAAAAATCTTTTATATCTAGTTGCATAAATTAGCAATACACACCAAATTAAAACTTTCTCACTCACTTCCATTGTTTCTAACAGTGCTTTGAAGGAAAGTGTGTAGCGTGTGGTTGCCTCATCAGTGACAATGGCGGGTGCAGCAGTTTTTGGCCAAGCACAACATTCATCAGGTTCGATAACCACTATATTCTCCAGATCTCATCCCTTGCAACCTTATCCTCTTCAAAAATCAAATCCCACTTGAAAAAGAAAAAGATTTCAAGGCATCAAGGCAACCCAAGAGAATGTGACAAAGCAACTGCTCGCTATCCCAAAAAAGGAGTTCCAGGAATGCTTCCATCAATGGAAACAACGTTGGACAATGTTTGTCACTTCAGAAGGGGATTACTTCAAAGGAAATAAATGCCAAATTGTAGTTTTCTTTTTATAGCATCAGTACCGATAATCAGATGTCGTACATAAGCTCCACTTGAGGCGTGGAGTGACCTTGAATCTCAATAGATGTTCAATGACCAGCCACCATTCTCAATCTGAACCTTTGATTTATGTTAGAAACCAATGACTTCACTAAAACTCACCTTTGGGGTTTCTTTCTCTGTTGGTCCCAGGGAAACATCCACCTTTGTGTTTTGAAGAAGATTAATGAAGGATTTCTTGTTCATACTTTCAATAACCATGTCTTTTCTTCGTTCTGAAGAAACACTGGAAAGATTTTCATTGACCATTTTTTGTTGTCTTTTCACAGCATTGAAAAGCTGAACAACACCTCTACAAAGAAATCAAAAGAAACCATTTTTAATATAGAAATACCTATAACTTTAACATTTCGTTTATATATATATATATATATATATATATATATATATATATACATACACACACACACACACAGGGTGTCTCAAAAAAATGTACTCACACTTTGAATGACGAGAAAACCTTTATTTATGAACAGAGTGAAATGGAATAGCTTCGAATACAGAAGAAAAAGGTAATTGAAGAATCATGTTTGCAAATGTTCAAATTGATGACCATTATTGTCCAGACAATGCATAAAAAGCATGTTAGAGACAGTTAAAGTGTGAGTACATTTTTTTTGAGACACCCTGTATATATATATATATCTCTGCATCTCTGCAACAGGAAAAACTACCATTAGATATGACAGGCTGACAGAGTGAGTCACCGATCAAACAAAGGATGCATGTTTTTCTTTAATTGGATTTCTCAAATATTCAGGCTGGTAGACAAAAATAAATATACTATTTAATAAATAAACATCTACTCAAATATGGCTATACACTAAAAACAATGTTTAAGTGAAAATCTGCTAGAACCCAGTCTATCCTGCTATTTACCCATAGCTGGGAGGGGGGGGGAGAGAGAAGAAGAGGATTCATACCTTTCCGAAGTGTATTAGCACGTGAATGTTATGGATTCGACTGGAATTCAAACTCAGATTCCTAAATTCAAACTGCTAGCCATTACTCTACTGTGCCTATATAAGGAGTGTAGATATAGGTAACAATATTGAATGGCAGCAGTTTTTTTTTTATGCTTAAACACAATTTTCAGGACCAACAATTGGGTTTAAACATGAAACAGACTGTCACCATTCAATGGGGATACCAGAGCTCAAAATTACTCTATACACCCGAGTATAGTACAAGTTTTTATGATCATTTTTTTTTTTTTATGCAAAATTGGATGTCACACCATGCACAGGTAATATTTTTTTTTGGAGAGGTTAAAAATCATGCATTTTTGGTGATCAGTTGCACTATACACAGGTAAAATTTTTTTTAGAGGGGTTAAAATACATGCAAAAGAATTAACAGGTCACACTATACATGAAGTCGGCTTATACACATGTATATATGGTAAGTTTGGTTTGGTTTTTGTTTTATGGCATATCAACACCTCAATGGGTCATTTAATGCCGACAACTTTTTTTTTTCTGATAATGTTTTTGTTTTGTCAAAAATCTATTTCTGGTAACATTTTTTTCCTCAAAATTGTATAGCTGGTAATAATTTTTTTCAAAAACGTATTGCTGGTAATATTTTTTTTTCTTCAAAAATTTATTTCTGGTAATAATTTTTTTACAAAGTATTTCTGGTATTAAAACCTATTTTTACACTGTCATAA